TGTCTGTCCTTGTACAACACCACATCTTCTGTGTTTTGTATTGTAAAGATATGCATTGTTAACATTCTAGCCAGAGGATAAGAAACAGTGCTGAATAACACGAAATATGATATTTTCTTCTTGTAAATACAGAATTGTACATTATATTTGCTAGTTTTGTTTAAAAGCCTTTTGTTTTGTGCGTAACTGCTGTCAGTGTTGCCCTGCGTGAGCTGAAATTGTATTGTTAGCTGTCTGATGTATCTGCAAACATCCGTGGTCATGTCATTCGGACGTCATCTTAAGTGCTTGTCTCAGATATTTCTTTGCTGTTGTCGATGGCAGTGAAAAAATACGATTGTGGAGACCTGTTGTTCTTCCTCTCTTTCATCTTTTCATCATGCTTCCATCAGAAAATTACATTTGATTTCATTTTTTACCTGGCCATAAATCTGGTGTCATTTTGTCTGTTGTAAGCTACATATAAAATGCCATTATGCTATGTTTAAAAACTACAATAAATCCTGTGCTTAGTTTTTGTAGTTTGAACTTTTTGGACTATGGACCAGTGGTGGTGATTTATGTAACCAGCAGAGGACACCAGAGATATCTTTTATAATATAAGGGCACACAAAAAATCACAATATTCCAGTATATTTTAATTTGGAAAAACCAACCAAACAAAAAAACCATAATATCATTACAAAACAAAATACATTTCTATTCATTTATGTAGTTTATAAATTGTATGTGTGTGTTATATGTAAAATGTTGTTGCTGTTAACTTTTTGAAACTAAACAAAGCATTTGATTTTATCTACAAAATAGGATTGTAGAATTTAGAGCATAAATAGTATGTTTATATATATGTATTGCATATATATATATATATATATATATATGTGTAAATTTTGTTGATGTTAATGGAACTAAACAAAACATTTGTTAGAATGGAACGCAAATTTGTTTACAGTTTATGAAAAACTTGTACAAGCTCAGCAGTCAATCAAATGTTTCAGTTTTGACTAACAGCCAATGGGAAATCTGACTCCTCCCACTCATGTTTAATCATTGTCTTGGAGCTGAAAAAAACTATATAAGAGAAAATGCAGCTGCGTTTTCTGCAAAGCATTAATATCAAGTTTATCATTTGTTTATTGATCAGAAAAGCTTAATTTAAAAAATGGTAGATGCTTTCTGTGGCACATGGAAACTGCTCAGCAGTGACAACTTTGATGAGTATATGAAAGCTCTAGGTAAGTTTTACCATAATAACATCAGTAATAATAATTATTAATACAGTATTTTTATTTGAATTACAGACACATTCCAAGTGAACATTGCATGAATTCAATGCATCTGATTTTT